ATATACCAGTGTTGGCTTGTTTCTTTATATTACCATGTTAATATGTAAATTAAAAGGCAGGAAATTTAAAACAATGCTGGAAACATCAGCTTATTTCTACAACAAGAATATGACAGCCTCTATTATTAGCCTTAACCATAGATTTCCTAGACCGGTGTTTTGTATCATGCTGAAATATAATTTAAAAATTAAATTCTATCCATTCGGGTTCTAGCTAACTGAAAATGGCAAGTATAATGCAATGTAATTGATTTCACATATCAATCACTGGAAAGCATTTGAAGCAGGAATTTTAAAATGACTGTTTCAATCCAGTTAGTGGTATTACCTGTGACAGCTGCTGTTTCATGCAAGCACATGTTGTACAGGTACTTTCTGCTGACCAGCAGGTGACATTCAACAATATTCAGCACAGACTGTGCTCTTATCAGGGAGTAGCCAGAACACCCTCAGCTTCTCTGCCCGCCTCTGACATCAGTCAGCAGGACAAACGTCTTTTGAAGTAAATGTGGACACAGTCCCAGAAGGAGGTGCTATTGGGACCCACTGGAAGGTATAACTGCAAGGACAATGGGAACTGATGCCTTAACTCAGGGGTTCCCAGGCATGTGCCTTTCAAGGACCAGTAAAATAAAGAGGGGGGGGTGCAAAGTGGAGATGACAACTTTCTGTATTGTCAAATAAGGACATTAAAACAAACACAAATCCACAAATTGTGATATAACCATACAATGGGATTCTACTTAGCAATAAAGAAAAACCAAATTACTATTATACTCAGCTACATGCATGAATTTCCAAAACATCAAAAGTGCAAGCAGCCAGACACAAAGGAAAAAACGCTGCCTGGTCCCAGTTACATGGCATGCGGAACAGACACAACTAATCTGTCCTTAGAGAAAGCAAACCAGTGCTCGCCTAAAGGCTGGGCATGGGCGATGACTATAAAGGGGCAAGAGAAACCTCTGGAAAGACTGGAAAGTTCTAAATCTTAACTGGTTACATGGGTGTATACATATGTCAAAACTCACCAAACTACACTTAAAAATGTATGCATTTCATTGTATGTAAACTATGCCTCAACACAGTTGATTAAATAAATTGTGACCAGAAACAGATAGCGCATAAAAGAAAGTTGTTTTTAATTCCCATAGTAAAAATGACATAAAGGATAGCCCTTTTGAATTAAATATATTTTTGTTTAATAAAAAGCTCTATTTTCTCATTTTAAAGCCCAGTGATGGAAACCTCCTCAGGGCCCATCAGGGGTCAGAAGATGAACATGTCAGAACCACTGTTGTCTCCTTTCCTCCCGCCCAGATTCCACTCCCTGAACCTTACCTTGAACATTCCTTTAACAAGGCTCACCACTACTTCATTCTGTACTGATCAGACCACCGGAGCAGCTGGATTGGGGATGAAAATAAAAATGGCCAGGAAGAAGGAATGGTTTCAGTAACTGAGGAATTCTATCTAATGATGGGTGGGCAGAAAAGGGCAGGGGGCAGAGGGACAAGGAAGGGTGAGGGAGAAGCTAAAAGGAGGGGAACTTGGGCAGCCAGACCTCCATGTGCTATCTCTTCCCAGGCTCTCTGACACCTCCCAGCTCAGCTAGTGGAGACGTATACCCAGTGTGCCCTGTTTGTTCATGAGTCAGAACAGCCCCTGAAATGAACTGGCAGTGACCACCAGCAAGTTACACAGTCAACAGGGGTCTTTTCCAGGTGTCAAGACCCTGCCCTACTGGTTAGAGGGCACAAGGCCTTGCTAAGTGCATTCAGGACCCTAGAAGACCAGTAAGGCCATCATGGGGGGAAGGATGAAAAACAAAAATTGATTTTTTTAAGGAGAAGTGGAAAAGTAGAAATGGAAAAGTTTCTGAAGTAGAAAGTGCAATAATATAAAATATATACATTAAGATGAGATTTTCCTTTAAAGATCTAAAATAAAACAGAATAGGCTGTTTTGAAATTAATATTTTTTACCTTAACCTTTTTAAAGCCACTGGCTCACCAGGAGAATTTAGTAGTAGCCAAACTATTTCCTAAGTGTGACGATTTGTTCTAGAAAATATTGCCTCTGCATGAAATAGTCAAATAATGGCTGGAAAAGTTTGGCATACTTAATATTAAAAGTCAGAATGTTTAGGAAAATCAAATCATAAAAAAAAAAAGACACAATTGAACATTGAAAGGCATTAAGGGGATTCCAAAGGTAAAATCTCACTCATTCCCCACAACTTTTTAAAATTAGTTCATTTATTTTTAATAAACACCCAGCATTCAGTACATGGCAGGCACTGTTCTAAGTACTCTGCCTACCTAAGCGCATGCGCTCCTCCTAACCAACCCAACTGGGCTGCTTTCACTGTCCCCATTTTACAGATGAGGCACAGTGAGGCTGCCTGACTTGTCCAGGTTACCTGGAGGAGACAGAGCAGGACAGCACTACTCCAACAGCTAGGCTTTGCTACAGCTCGGCCATTTTTGCTAATTTTGTTCAGGGGAGGGAGAGTGTATTCATGTCATGTTTGTTTCTAGTTCTGGGCCCTGATGCTTCTGTGACTGGGTAGCCCCACAAGAATGTGAGGCCTTCAGCACACCTAGCTGTGAATGCATCAGGGGCCCTTTCTACAAGATGAACTAGGAATTCTCCAGACAAATGCTAACAGGTCATTCCTGATGCTAATGGTTATAGCACCTGGGAGAAGCACAAAAATGAAACAGAGCGATGATGTGCTTTGAGAACTTCACTTTGATAAGTTCAAAGAAAGCAAACTCTTTGGATTTTATATATTTTGAAGTGAAAGCCTCAATTCTGAAGGGCCTCACATGATTTTTTGGTATTTGGTTTCTCTAACTTGCCTTTATAGTATAGCATCTTCACTATTTTGGCCAGGCTTGCATATAGTCTGGACTACTTATTATTTGCTTTCAACTTTTATTTAAATCAACTCAGTTTTTCTTTCTTTTTCCTTTTTTAGGTATAATCAACATACAACATTATATTAGTTTCATTTAATCAACATAATGATTAAATATTTGTATACATTGCAAAATGATTACCACAATAAGTCTAGTTAACATCTGACACCATACAGTTACAAAAATATTTTTCTTGTGATGAGAACTTTTAATATTTACTCTCTTAGCAACTTTCAAATATGGAATACAGTATTATTAACTATAATCACCGTGCTGTACAGTGCATCCCCAGGACATATTTATTTTATAACTGGAACCTTCTAACTTTTGATTCTGTTCACCTATCTCACCCTCTCTTCTGCCCCTCAACCTCTCAGCCCCCTCTGGCAGCAACCAATCTGTTCTTTGTATTGAGCTATGGGTTTCTTGTTTGTTTGTTTTTTTAGATCCCACATGTAAATGAAATCATACTAAATCAACTCAGTTTTAAAAAACTGAAGATCTTCATTATCCATGTCTTAGTGTTATGCATAAAATTGACTTAAACTTATGTTTTATTAACATATTTATCTATTAAAAATAAATCTATGCACAAACTAAAATCACTGCATGTCCTCTAGTGCTGTGAGCTCTATGTTTTGGAGAACTCACATTCTGAGCTGGTGAAAGCCAGTATTTACCTTCTAATTAAAAATATGGAAATAATACAAACACACCTTCAGAAATTTATTTTTATGTATGCATATGCCATTAAATGTATGTACAAATGGAATGCTACACACACACACACACACACACAAATTTCCAATGGCTGAGAAAAGGAACTGAGCAGGAATAAGGCATTAAGCTATGGGCAGTGGAAAGTACTGGATCAAGGACAGAGTATAACATTAGTAATTTGCACCGTTTCTCCAGGGAGACAGAAAGAACATGCACGCCTGAAAGGAGGAATCCCCTGGGGGGGAAACAGGGGCAAGGAGTGGGGAGGGCTGGCGCCAGGCTCCCTTCCCTCTGCCTCCCTAAGTAGCAGCTCCTTGTTTATCTGTTTTCTACAGTGTCCTTACTCACAAGGCATTTTTTGAACAAAGGGCTCTCTGCTAAAAAGAAATTTGGAAACCAAAGGTACTATTCAATTTTTTCATTTTACCCTTGAGGCAACTGAGGCTCAGAGAAGGGAAAGCCCTAAGAGGCACTCAGCAAACTGCAGCAGAATCAGAGCCTAAAGAACTCAACATCCAGATTCCCCGTCTGATGTCTTTGTGACCAAGACCACCTCTGTGAACACCCTCACACAGCCATATACTGGTATCTTCGGTGGACGTCATTACATCAATACTCTTGCCTAGCCTCAAAAATGAAAAAGTGTAATTAATCATTAATTCCTTGAGGAGAGGACAGTGGCCAACAATATTTAATAGAGTGTTATGAGTCAATGGAAATAAATTAGGAATAAGATGAAGTCATTATTTCGGAAAATATGACATAAGGAAACAGGCACATCTCTTCCTGAAAAGTTGTGTAAGTCAAATAATGCCTAAAACACATTAGGAAAGCTTCCTAATTAGTAATAGAAACAATAATAAAAACAGCAATAACTATAATTAATTATCACATACCAGACACTAGACTCAGCATTTTATTAGCACTGAAATCCCTGTGACATAAATATTATTATTCTCATTTTATAGGTAAGAAAATTGAACCCAAGCCCATGAGTAGGGTGACCAACTGTCCTGGTTTACCTGGCACTACTGTGTTTCCCAGAACATGGAACTTTCAATGCTGAATTTGGGAAAACCCTGGGCCACCTGAGATGGTTGCTTACTACTGTGGGGCTGGTGAGTGACAACAACTTTCACGTGTGCCTGGCTCCCCAACCACCACCACTTTCTATGGAATAACTCCCCTCCATGTGCTCCAGTCAAAATTTTCACATACTGGTTTAAAGGAGGGAGTGACCAATATCTTACAAAACAAGATATTCACATGTAGCTTCTCCTTTTACAGAAACGACAAAGAAAGTACTGCATAGTCTCAACCTCCATTCCTCCAGAAGAGTAAAGAAGGGACACTTACCTTGACCTCAAACTCGAAGTGCTCGTCCTTTCCTTGCCCACAGAGAACATAGCGTGGAATACTAATTTTAATTGGGTCCTTCAGGTCATCTGGATTTGCTCCGAAAGAGCGAGATATCATCCGCTATCAAAGGCACATCAGAAGGGGAGAACAAAGAGAACCAAGATCACTCAGTTGCAAATACCTTGCTTGGGCAGGCAGGAGAAAATATGTTTCAGGTAGAGAAAAGAGCATCAAACTAGTAGAGTTTATTTAGAAAAATGATGGTTTCCTTTGAAAGAGAAATGCTAAGTCTCTCTCATAACAAAAGACCATTTCTTTAGGTATACCATTCCCAGAAGTTAGGGCAAAAGCACTTCAAAATGTTGTTTCGCTTTGAAGTTCCTTCCAATTTATAAGAACAAATGAAGAAAGAGACAGATTACATATTCTGACTTTCAAAGAAATCAGTCTAAACCAGGTTCCTTTCTGAAAAGTCTTGATCATCTAACTTATTTTTTCTCCACAGACTATCAGATTGCTCCAAAAGCTAGAGATTTTATTCAAACTTACTTCATTTTTAAATTCTAGGCATTTTTATAAGCCAGTGTAGTGTGGAAAGTTCTTTAAACCACAATTAAAACAAATCCCAAGTATTTTCTTTAGGCTCCATTTGATTAATAATCAACTAGGGTCTGACAAATATTTATGGTCTGGACGGTGGGAAGCCAGAGGGATCTGAGGAAGAGGCATTATGAAAAAAATAAATCTTCAAAATGAGTTCTCTTGAGTGTGAATGCAAAGAAATCTCCGAACAACCTTATCATTTGGACTAAACTGGGGCTTTAGAAAACGTAAGAAAGTATGTTTTTGAAGCAGTAGCAATAATAAAATAATTATAATCACAATTATAGTTGCACTTATTGAATACTTATTATATACCAAAAACTTCACTTACTAGTTTATATGCATTGTTGCATTTAATCTTCACAGTCTCCTATGAGGTGCTTACCTTTGTTAACCCTATTTATCAGATGAGAGGCCCAAGACAGACCTTAGGTAACTTGACAGAGGTAAGTGGTAGAGCCAGGATTCGAACTCAGGCTAATGCAGAGCCCAACTACATCATCACTATGCCATACTGCTACAGTGAAATTTTAAAATAATTTTATCCATCAGAGATAAACTGAGCTAATGAACACTTCAACATAAACAGAATTTAAGATGGGAGCTTCATGGGCTGGCGGAGTGGCTTGTTGGTTAAGAGTTGGCTTGGGAGTGTGAGTTCTGAGCAGCTAGGCCACTGGTTCGGATCCCACATGGGCCAGTGACGCTGCGCCCTCTACAGCTAAGATGGTGAACAACAGCTCGACGTGGAGTTGGGCTGCCGTGAGTCACCAGCGACGGCGTAGGCTGCAGTGGGGCTGCAGTGGGCTGCCGTGAGCCACCGTGAGTGGCCGTCCAATGGCCGGCGACCGATCTGCCTCAGCTGGGAAGAGTGCAATAATCACAATACCAACATGGGCCAGTGAAGTGACGTCCTCCACAACTAGACTGAAGAACAAAAAGACAGCAACTTGTCTGTT